CCGCTGCGTCGACGAGGCCGGCTCGATGTGGAGACCTTGCTTCCCCACGCCGGCGTCGCCGATGCATCGCCGGTGCGTCGCCGATGCATCGGCAGTGCCTCGGCGAGGCGGCGCGATCCTGCGACCCCCATGTGCTCGGACCCCGTCCGGGAGGCCTCTCTCAGAGCTGACTCTCCAGTGGTGCGAGGCGCCCACGGAGTGCCCGCAGCGCTTCACACGACTCCCCCCCTGCAGACTCAGGAGGGAACAAAAACACACAGACACAATTGATCGTCCACTCCCTCGAAATATGGGAAAATGTGGGAAGTGGGGGGGGAGGACGAAAACCCAGAAAATGTAAGAAAGTATGGGGGATCCGTCTCTTTGTGTGTATTTCTTTGTGCGTCCCAGTGCCCCTTCACAGGCGCTCGAAGGCCAGACGCCCCGCACATGAACTGCTGGCGCTCCGCGCGGATTTCTTGGATCGGCGCCCGGGCCCCCCCCTGACAGCGCCTCTGGCGCCGCCCCCTGCGCGCTCCGCGCGCCGTGTGGGGGGGGGTACCAGCGCGGATGCAAGAGATCTTTTTTTTTTATTATTTTTTTTTATTTGTTTTTTTTGTTTTTTTTGATGTTTTTTTTTTTTTTTTTTTTTTTTTTTTTTTTTTTTTTTTTTTTTTTTTTTTTTTTTTTACCGCCGCGGGCGGAAGCGCCAGCGGCGGCGGGTAACGGTCGGGCTGCGGCCGCTACAGATTGGCCGGAGGCGCGCGTGAACCCCAAGAGATCAGCGCGGAGCGTCAAAAGTTTCTGCCTGTAGCGTTTTTTTTCTTGTTCTCTTCGATGATCGAGGCGGACACCCGATCTGCTCTCAACGCCTCCCTGCTTCGTGTTTCTGCCTACACCTTAGGCGATGCTTAAGAAAACTTAAGTTTTCGGCCAGAGTCTCGATTATTCTTAACGTTTCAATGTGAATCTTGAGATTCCAGTAGAAATGTTGTTTTTTTTTTGTTCAATTCAAATTCTGAGACTATGAATTTCTTAACCCATGATTTCTTAAGCATTTCGCAGGGTGTACTTCTCCCGACCAATGGGGGCCATCGTGAACTCTCGTGTGTGCGTCGTTGGTTTCCTTCCTCCGGGGGAGCGCGCGGCGCTTCCCACGACTCTCCCCGCAGACGCGGCGCCTGACAGCCGATCGCGTGGCGTCGTGGATCAGAGAACGCAGACTGGGGACTCTCTCTCTCTCTCTCTCTCTTTCTCTCCCTCTCTCTATAACTCGCTCTCTCTCTTTCTCTCTCTCTCTCTCTCCCTCTTCCTCCCTCCCTCCCTCTCTCTATATATTCCCTCCCTCCTCCCTCCGTCCCTCCCCACATCCCTCCCCGGGCCGTCCCATTCCCTCGGACAGGTTGGCTTGGCCAGTCCTCGTCGGCCACCGAGTGGACGCGTCTCGTCTTCTGGTGATGCGTTTCCGCCCACATCTTTCTCTTTCTCTCTCTTTGGCCTATCTCTCTCTCTCTCTTTCTCTCTTTCTCTTCCCTCTCCGCTCTATTTCTGCGTCTCTCTCTCTCTCTCTTTTTTGTTTTCTCTCTCTCTCTTTCTTTTTCTCTCCCTCCTTCTCTCTCTCCCTCTCTCTCTCTTCCCCCCTCCCTCTTGTCTCTCTCTCTCTCTCTCGCTCCTTTGTTGCTCTCTCTCTCTCTCTCCATCTCTGCCCGCCCAGAGGTTGCCCTGCCTCCCTCCGCGATTCCTTCTTCCCGTCCGACCCCCTCGTCTGTGTACGGAGGGTCCCGGGTCAGGCATTTCAAATGTCACTCAGGGGCAAAATCGACTAGACGTAAGAGCGACTTTTCGCCGGAGTGACCGTTGGTGCGGGCACAGATGGGCCCCCAGATGGCCAAACGCGAAGCGGTAGCAGCGGCTAGCACGCCTGGATTTGGCCTCCCCGCGGCCCCCCCAAAGCCGCGCACCGAAGGTCACTCTTATCCAGGGTCACGCTTACGTGTAGCCGACAAAAGCCCGATTCGGAATCCGACTCGGCGAGCTTACAAGCAGCCAACGTCGTGCGACGAGACGGGCGGAGAGGATATGGTGTCGGATGTGGCGTGAGCGTGCCTGTCCTTCCCCTCCCCCATCCCCTACTCTTGCCAGCCTGAAGCGCATTCATGTCCCGAGGATTCGCATCATCCTCTCTCGATGCCGATCCTGAGGATTCGCCCAGCTTCCGAGGGCACATCCCTAAAGTCGTCATCGCCCTGGGTCTGTCAATTTTAGGGATAGCGAGGCGAAGCGAATACCGGATCCGCGCGCGCGCGCCGCGTGGGCGCCCGCGCGCGCGCGCGCCCGTTGGGGCGTGGCGGTGGAGGTGGAGGCCGCAGCCTCGATGGGTCGAGGCTGCTTATCCTCTTCGCCCTCTCTCTCTCTCCCTGCTCGCCGCCTGCCTCCCTGCTGCTCCTCCTCCGGGTCCTGCTCGAGCTCCCTCCTCGTCGTCCGCCTCCTGCTGCTGCTGCTGCTGCTGCCCTCCCCTCCTCGCCAGCTCCGTGGTCTCCCTCCCTCGTGCCTCCCTCCCTCCCTCGTGCCCCCCTCGCCCCTCTGCTCTCGCCTCTGCCTCGTCGCTTCTGGCCTCCCTCGTGTTTTTTTTTTTTTTTTTTTTTTTTTTTTTTTTTTTTTTTTTTTTTTTTTTTTTTTTTTTTTTTTTTTTTTTTTTTTTTTTTTTTTTTTTTTTTTTATTTTTTTTTTATTTTATATATATATATATATATATAATTATTTTCGAGAGAGAGAGAGAGAGAGAGACAGAGAGGTTTTCTTCGGAGGAAATTTAACGGTTTTCCTCGGTTTGGGTTTTTCCTCGGTTTGGGTTTTTCCTCGGTTTGGGTTTTTCCTCGGTTCGGTTGTCTCCTCGCTTAGGGGGGGGGTCTCCCCAGCTCCCCGGGGGGGACCCCTGGGGGAGGAGTGCTCCGTGGGCCCCTCCACTGCGAGGGAGGCCCGCGACCCCGAGGCGCGTGGCGGGCGCGCGCGCGCTGGCGGCGCGAGCCTCTCGGGCAGCACACAACTCGCCGGCCACTCGGGCGGAGTCCGACCGACCCCCCTCCTCCTCCCTCCTCCTCCTCCTCCTCCTCCTCCTCCTCCTCCTCCTCCTCCTCCTCCTCCTCCTCCTCCCCCTCCGTCCCCCTCTCCCTCCCCCCTCCTTGCAGGCGGTCGCAAACATGGACCAAGGGGGCGTGGAGCAGCGACGGGTCCGGTTTCCATGGGGCATCTCGGCCTCCCGCCGCTGGCCGAGGCGGCACCGGCCGCATTTTGGGGATGGCACCTCCCCCTACCATGGATAGCCATGGCACCTCCCCCGATCCATGGATTTGGCGACCGCGCGCCGAACCCATGGATCGCTAATCCGTGTTTGCGCGCCCCCACTCCTTCCTCCCCTGCAGAAGCGCCGTTTTGCGCTCCGAAGCGCCGGGCATCCCCGAGCAGCTGTGGGGCCTGCGCGGCGACGGCGAGGGAGAGAAGGGGTCGACGAGACGCAGGGCAGACGACGGCGAGCGCGCAGGCGGGAGGCCAGGGCTTCGGCGGGACAAGGCAGGGAAAGCCCGTCCTCACCCCAGACCCCCTCGAGATATTACAGAAATCACCACTGGAGGTGCTTCACTCTTTTGAGTCCTGGGCCCTTACAGGCCCTCTAGACCGTCGAAAAACGATTCAGGATGAGTAGCCAGTCCCAGGAATGGGTCGAGACTTTTGGGGTCGACGTCATGAACACATCATGTCGTCGGGGGCCTGGGTCACGACACCGCCATCGCTTGCCCGCCCTGCCTCACCTTTCCTTTCCTCTCTTTCCAGCTCGCGTCGTCCTCGCTGCCTCCTCCCTCCTGCCATTTCCAAGGGACATTTTTTTGCAAGTGGTGAAAAAACGGCCCTGCCGTTTTCAGGGCCCACAAAGGTGAGGACTAAGAGGGTGTAGACGGTGTGCATAACATGGTCAGGGCCATGAAAGCCAGGGCCATGATGCCTCCTGGATTTCATGGCCCCGTCTTCTTGTCTCCGCACGTCCCTTGGCCCGCCCGCTCCCGCCCACATGCCTCGGGCCATGCTTTGCGACCCCCCTCTTGTCAGGAGGGAAAGAAACACACAGACACAATTCATCGTCGATTCCCCAGAAAATATGCGAAAATATGGGAAGTGAGGGGGAAGACAAAAACCCAGAAAATATGCCGGATTATTTTATTTGCGTGTATTTATTTGTGTGTCCTTGGGCCCCTTGAAACATGGTCAGGGCCGTGAAAGCCAGGGCCAAGGATGCCTCCTGGATCTCATGGCCCCGTCTTCTTGTCTCCGCACGTCCCCTGGCCCACCCGCTCCCGCCCACATGCCTCGGGCCATGCTTTGCGACCCCCCTCTTGTCAGGAGGGAAAGAAACACACAGACACAATTATTCGCCGACTCCAAGGAAATATGGGAAAATATGGGAATTGGGGGGAAGACAGAAACCCAGAAACTATGGGAAAATATGGGGGATTATTTTATTTGTGTGTATTTATTTGTGTGTCCCAGTTCCCCTTCACTCTTGGACGCTCCCGACAGGCGAAGGAGGTGCAGGCCATGGTGGCGAAGAGGACGCAGGAGGCCCCCTGGCACGGCTGGGGAAGGGGGCCCAGACATGACGAACGAGCAACACACACCCATACCCATAGGGGGGTCGTTGAGAGGAGGACTGGCTATAGGTATGGGTGCGGGTTGTCGGACCCTGGGGAACGCTCCCGTTCGAGCGGGGACCCCCATCCGACACCACGCACCCATAGCCCTCTCCGACCCCCCTATGGGTATGGGTGGGTGTTGTTGGTTCGTCAAGACAGGGTTAATTTCAATCCCATCGGTCAGAGTCGACATCGACGACGACCCGCTTACCACTAAGGTATTTGGTGAGCCCGCAAGCTGCGAACATAACTGCATGAACACGTTTCTGAGCGATCTGATGTTCGGAGGCACGACTCCCCAGACATCCGGTGTATTGATTGGAGAGGCCTGACGGCGGGTGCCGCCGACCCTGATCGAAAGGGCTAGGAGTGAGGAGGAGGAGGAGGAGGAGGAGGAGGAGGAGGAGGAGGAGGAGGAGGAGGAGGAGGAGGAGGAGGAGATGGGGAAATATGGGAAGTGGTGGGGAAGTGGAGGTCTCGGCCCTATCCCCAGGGGTAGACTCCCGTCCCAGCTCAGTCTGCAGTGGTGCAGGAGGGGAAAAGACACACAGACACAATTCATCGTCGATCCCCCAGGAGAATATATGGGGAAATAGGGGAAGTGGGGGGGAAGACAAAACCCAAGAGAATATAGGAAAATATGGGGAATCTTGTTATTTGTGTGTATTTATTTGTGTGTCCCAGGGTCCCTTCAATGGTGCTGGACCGAGACTGAAACAAACAATCCGCCCGAAGTCGAGGCAGGATTCGTCAGCAGCGGATTGGAAGATCGGCTCGAGTCGAAGTGTGCGTCGGATCGAGCCGCATCAGCACGGAGTCGACATGAAGGCGGTCGGCTGCGCCAGGATGCGCAACAGCGCCATGCGAACATCGGGCCGCATCGGATCGCCGGAATACCGGAATTTCATCGGGTCGGACTGGCCAAGATCGGCCTGTCCTCGGCAACGAAGCCAGAGGATATCAGATCAGTGCGCGCCACAGTTTGGGATCCAGCTGGAACAGTCACAAGCCACCTTCGTTTTGGCTATATCGTGATATTTCGCGAAACTTGCTACATGATGCCGTCAAGTCTTTTGACCGAGACGTACTTGCGCGTTGGTGTACCAAGAGCGTGTTTCTTTATTGCTTGGGGCATAATTGGCATGATAGCCCCCGCCCCCCCCCCCTCTCCCCCTATAACGTAACGCCCCTCCCCACCCAGTGCGCTCCGGGCTGCCGCCGTGCGCATCGGGATCCGCATCGGCGTCCGCATAGTAATCCGTATACCTGGTCCGCATTGGGAATCTCATGGGGATCCGCGCGACAGGGGGGAAGGGTGAGGGAGGAGAAGGAGGAGGAGCAGAGCAGGAGGAGGAGGACGAAGAGGAGGAGGTGGAGGTGGAGGTGGCGGAGGAGGGAGGAGAGAATAACGTCGCAACCTAATGCAGATTGGCACAATGTCCAATATCCGGAACATTCCCAGGAAGCTATCGAGCATCTTGGTTGCCATGATATATGCGTTTGCGTACGCAGGAGAAGTACGAACTAGAAACTGAATCACGGAGGGGGGCGGGAAGCAGGTGGAGGACGAGGAGGCGGAGGGGGAGAGAGCAGGGGGAGGAGGCGGAGGAGGAGGAGGAGGAGAAAGACGAGGATTCGTAGGATGAAGAAGAGGAGGAGGAGGAGGAGAAGGGGAGAAGGGGGGAGGAGGAGGAGGAGGAGGAGGAGAGAGGAGGAGGTGGAGGAGAGGAGGAGGAGGAGGAGGAGGAGGAGGAGTAGGCGAGGAGGAGGAGGAGGAGGAGGAGGAGGAGGAGATGATGATGATGATGATGATGATGATGATGATGATGATGATGATGATGATGAGGATGATGATGATGATGAGGAGGAGGAGGAGGAGGAGGAGGAGGAGGAGGACGATGAGGAGGATGCGGAGGAGGAGGAGGAGGAGGAGGAGGAGGAGGAGGAGGAGGAGGAGGAGGAGGAGGTGGAAGGGCAGGAATCCACAGCCTTTGTGACTCAACTCCTCCTCAGGAGGCTCAGTACAAGAGTCTCTTTGCGTTGCACTGGGGATGAGCGCCCGCACCAAGGCGCGATCAGAAACGCCTCTGATGTTGCACTGCGGTCTCTTCCGTCGATTCCTCTCACCACGTTCACACCTCGGCCTCTACAGTCAGGGCGCTGAAGAAGGAACCCTTCTCGTTTGGGAGGGGCTCGGTGTTCCTTGATTGTTTTACAGCTTGGCGTGGGTTTTCCTGAGGTTTTCGATGGGAAATCGAAGCTTAACTTTTGGGATCAAGGGGCCTCGTTCCTTATTTAAGGTTCCTTAGTTCAACGCCCCGACTGTAGATACCTGCATGCACGCGCGACAATTCGTCTTTCTTCTCTTCGCAAGCCTTGGGCTGGGATCCGGACGGATCCCGAAGCACAACCGCGGGGCCGGCAGTGGAAGTCGCCCGCCACGGTCCGCAGTGCCTCGTGCTCCGCGCGCGGTTGCCCAACGGCCACTGGCGAGCTGCTGGTGGCGCAAGGCGGCGGCGAGCCGCGGGGGGAAGCGAGAAGGAGGCGGCCTTCTCGAGAAGCGGCCGGGCTTCTCAGAAGCCCGCGCGCCTTCTCTGAGAAGCCTGTCGCGTCCTGGGGGAAGGCTCAGAGAGCTTCTCCCAAGGCCAGGGGGCTCTTCCGAGCCCTCTGGGAAGACCCGCCCCCTCTCTTCTCCCCCCTCTTACCAGCCTCGAGTGTATCCCTATCCCTAAGATTGACACGCCAAAAGGCGATGACAATCTTAGGGATTCGCCCTCAAAAAATAAAGGAACCCCTAAGATTGGCATCGTGATGAGGAGGTGCCCAGCATAGGGATAGGGATATGTTCCAGGCTGGTAACCCTCGGCGCGCCGCCGAGCGCGCGCCGCCGCGCACACACCCCTCCCCTGCTTGCCGCTGGCCGAGCCCGTGGATCCCAGCGGGCGCCGGGCCGACATGCGCCGCCGCGCTCCCTCGCGGACAAGTCAGGAAGGCAATTTTCGGGTTGGGAGGATGGGGCTGGGAGAATCAGCTCTGACCAATATCAGAAAGTTTGGAGGCTAATTTTTATGTTTTGGTTTTCTTTCTGATATTCGTGGATCGGCGGTTGGAGAGTCGGAGAGGGCCCGCTTTGCCCCCCCACCCCCCCTCCCACCCAGGATATCCTCCTTCTCCCGGAGAAGAAGGATATCCCGTCGGCGGCCGAAAGAATCGTTCATTGCATCCGGATGCTGTTTCTCGTGCCCTTCATCCCCCCAACCCCTTCTTCCCAACGCGACACTGCTTCTCCCGAACAGGGGCCGGCCTGCCTCGGGGTGCGACGCTCCCCCGGCTCCGGCCCCGGAAGAGTTCTGGGCTCAGGCTCGCCGAGCCGGGCCAGTGATGGGGCCGATGTCTCGCGGAGGTTGGACCGATGAAAGCAGGGCCAGGATCGGGATAAATCGCTCTCAGAGCGTTCCGGAGCGCTCTCAGAGCGTTCCGGAACGCTCTGGAGCGGCCGCGGCGCCCAACACATCCTCCCAACCCGCCGCTTCTGAGAGACTTCGAGTTATCCCGATCCGATTTTGTCCCGATCTTCGCGTCGTTTTACCGATCTCGCGCCGGAGGGCGCCGGCGTCCCCAGAAATGCGGCGCCCGCGGGCAGCCTGCCGCGTGCGCGGCGGCGCGGGGCAGGCCGGCGGGTGCCACCGTGGCGCGGACAAGCTGGATCGGCCAGCCAGGCCCCTGCATCCGCACGCGTGGGCGCAGGCGAGGGCGGTCTTGGACAAGGCGGTGCGAGCGGCGGACGTCCTTCAGGAGAGGAAAAAACACACAGACACAATTAATCCTCGATTCCCCAGAAAATATGGGAAAATATGGGAAGTGGGGGGGGAGACAGAAACCCGGAAAATATGGGGAAATATAGGGAATATCTTTATTCTTGTGTATTTATTTGTGTGTCTCAGGGCCCCTTCAGTCCTGTCCGTGCACATCGCCGAGGCAAACAAAAACGCGGCCGTCCAAGCGATGGGCCGACTTCGAGAGGTGCGAGGGCCGGTGCCAGGAGGCGGTGCGCGTGTGAGTCCAAGAGCTCAAGCAGGCGGTGCAGGGCCAGGTCGGAGAGGCGGCCATGGACATCTGGAGGGCCTTTTGGGAGACACTGCGTCGGCGCTCGTCGACGGGCGGAGGGCTGTCCAGCAGCGCGCGGCCGCCAGCAGTAGCGAGGAGTTCGATCGATCAGGCGCCCGTCGAAGCGCCGTCGCAGACGGCATCAGCCGCGGGCGAATGGGGCGTTGACTACCTACCAGACCACCCCAACCCAACCCGAAGACCCGAATTTCAGATTGGGGGGGGGTAAGGGTTCCACACGTGTTTTTTCGATGTTTCCCGACCCCCCCCCACTGCAAATCGAGGGTAATTCTGAGCCTTCGGGTTGGGTTGGGGTGGTTTGGTGGGTGGTGAGGCGTCAGCGCGGGCTCAGCCTCAGCGGCTGCGACAGGTGCAGCAGCTGCGGCAAGGGGGGCCTCGACCGGCTCGGTTGCTTGGGGCTCCCGCACCATCGGGGGTGCGCAGGCTGCTGGGGCTGCGTCAGTGGCTTCGGGGGCGGCTGGTGCGCAGTCGACGCTCTCCTCAAGGAGGCAGCGCGGGTCGCGCGCGTGGCAGGGGTGACGCCGCGGGCAGGGCGCGAGCTCGCTCGAAGCAGGGGTTAGAGGGGGCCGCGGAAAACGTTCGTCAGCATCACCGCCTGGGCTCCGTGGATCCCCGCCCGCGCGGCCGTTGAGGCATCAAGCTTCCTGCCACCGACAATGGGTCGCAGATGTAGCAGTTGGGTGGGGGCCCCTAATTTCGCGAGGGTGCGCGTGCAGCTGTTCATGTCAGTGCCGTTGTTCTCCACCAGTGTTGCCCCCCCCCAAGGAAGCCACCCGACTAAAACCAACATCGTGACCAACCAGCCTCGGTACCGCGACAGGTTGGTCAGAATAGGTAGGATGGAAATCGGCATTTTGCTTTACCACGAATCAGCACCATCACCTGCCTGGGCCGGACTATTGCTTTCCGCGACGCCCCCGAGACCGAAGTAAGACACTGGATCCGAACAGCATGGGCGTGTTTCAGAGACCGCAGACAAGAACTCACCAGCAATCACTACCCATCGAAACATCAACTACGACCGTACAGATGCACCGTCATACCTACTATGATGTACTGCGCAGAAATGTAGACTCTGACCGAGCCTCTCAGACAGCAGCTACGAAGAGCACAGCGACGGATGGTCAGATTGATACCTTGAACGCCAAGAAGACGCACGGCATTAACGCCGACGCCGACGCCGACGCCGCACCACAATACAGAGACGGACCAGAACAACAACCACGACACCAGCAGAACCGCACCAAACGACTCCAACGAATCCGACGTATGCAGCAACCCACCCATCTACTAGCCAGATGCATAGGACGAGGTGAGCAAGTACTAGGGCCAGTTACTAGGGCACACAGCCAGGCACTATCCAGGATGACGACGTCGAGTTGTGGTCCGATTCCATATGCAGGAACCTGCGGAAAGCAGAAGCAATGATGCTCAAGCATGACATACCTGATTTACTACACATCCACCGCCGAATGGTCTAGCGATGAGCGAATTCTTTGGCCCCCCGCGCGCCGACGCACTGGACGCAAAGAGTGCTGAATTGGAGCCCAAATCTCAACACTCGACACCGAGGACGCCGGCAACACGCAAGGCAACCACAAAGATGGGAAGACGACATCCGGAAGTACTTACAAAGCTTGGGCGGGCAATGCTGCGACGCCGACGCCGAGCGGGACCATATTTGGTCAGTTACCATGCCGAGACAGTACGAGCAAGACAGTGCAAACTTTCTACGGTGGCCATCGGCGGCAGGGAGCAATGAGTGGTGGCTTTCACATGAACGAGCTCAGGGGGAGGGGGAGGAGGAGGAGGAGGAGGAGGAGGAGGAGGAGGAGGAAGGAGGAGAGGAGGAGGAGGAGGCGGGAGGAGGAGGAGGAGGAGACGGTACGAGCAATGAGTGGTTGCCTTCGCGTGAACTTGCCCACGTTACACATATGTTGGGGGCCACGGCCTCCCGCACCATGCGCTGCTGGCCAGTGGCGAGCTCCCTCTCGGAACGCGCACGCCTCTGGCGCTCGTCCGCTGCCTTGCTCCCCCCAGGAAGCTCGCTGCCTCCTCCTCCTCCGCCTCCTCCTCCTCCTCCTCCTCCTCCTCCTCCTCCTCCTCCTCCTCCTCCTCCTGCCCCCTCCTCCTCCTCCTCCCTCCTCCTCCTCCTCCTCCTCCTCCTCCTCCTCCTCCGCTTATGGGACCGATTCCTCTGGGCCGCGCTCGCGCCCGCGAGGCCCCCGCGGGCGCGGCTTGGGGCGAAAGCTCAGGGCCCCCCTCGCGAGAGCTGCCGGCGCAGCTCCGCCCGAGCGAGCCGCAGGTCCCCGGTGGGTGCAGCTGCAGGCTTCTCTCGCAGAAGCGCCAGCGGAACCCGGCGTGCAGCGCCGCGCCCCCCCCCCTCCTCTGAGGCAGTGCTTGACTCGGGAGACGCAGGCCCAACATCAATCAGGAGGGGGAAAAACACACAGACGCAATTAATCGTCGATCCCCCAGAAACTATAGGAAAATATGGGAAGGGGGAAGACACACATTCAGAAAATATGGTAACATATGTGGATTTTTTGTGTGTACTTATTTGTGTGTCCCAGGGCCCCTTCAATCAAGGGAGGAAGAACCACCCGGGCCCCGACAATTGGCGTGTGCTAAACTCACCGAGCGCGTTCCACTACTCGCAAAGCGCCTGCTCGCAAACACCCGAAAAACACATGTCTGCTTCAATGTAATTCATCGTAGATCCCCCGAGGCGGATCCAGGCCATTTGCGAGTAGCTACTTTGCGAGTAGTGGAACGCGCTCGTCTATAAACGGCCTGGGGCGTTTACCAGACAGCCCTGTCCTGCTCGATTCTTTCCTTGGGCGCCTTTGCTGTGAACGGCTCCGCCTGTCGGGGTGCTTCTGCTGGGGGTGGATTCTTTGCCCTCTACCACAGGGGGGCGGAGAGCCTGAGATTAAGTCGGGCCTGTCTCTCTACAGGGGGAAAATTCAAAAATATTCAAAAAATAGTCAGGGGACATTTTTTTTGCTCATGTGGGGAGTATCTCTTGAGCATTTTTTACTTTCCGCCCGACATCCCCCCTGTATGAGGGACACGCCCGACTAAAGCCTGAGACCGCCTCTCTGGACCGCCTGGTCCGGCAGCCGTTTCGCTCGAGATGCCCTCGCGATTTCATCCAAGTCGGAGGTTCGCGCGGCTTTTCGGATCGGCGCTGGACCCCCCCCCGTTCCCTGGCGCGCGGAGCGCAGGGGCGGCGCCGGAGGCGCCGCCAGGGGGGGCCCCAGCGCCGACCCGAGAAATCCGCGCGGACCTCCGCGTTTTTTAATGTTTTGGTCGTTCTCCGTTCCCCTAGCATTCTCGTCTCAGTGCCGGTCACATGCTTTTGGTCTGGACGGCCACGATCCATTGTACAGTGCCGTGTTTAATACAGGCTCCGCGTGCGGCTCATGTATAAAAAATGCAGGGCTTAGTATTAAAAAACAGCGAGGAGTTCATGCATTAATTCATTCATGCGTGAATAATGTATTAAACTCCGTTCTTTTTTTACTGTTACAAGAAAGAAAAAACACAACAAACAAAAAAAACAAAAAAACGCCTGTGTATTAAAAACTGCCCTGTAGACTCCACACTGCTATAGCGTGCCCATGGCCGTGCTCCTGCCCCTGCCCAGGGCGTCGCCTCCTCTTCGCTCCTCTCTTCGGGTGCTCCTGCGGGGGTCGTTGTCTGCAG